TTAAATAGAATTTTCTATTTAAGTGATGAATCAAATTCTACACTTAAAACTAATGTTGCACTTTATGTTATCTGGCTGGAGTTTAAACTTGGAAAAAAATCACTTAAAAAAAAGAAAGAAAGAAAACAAAGTGAAATAGACAGCTGTTAAGTATATTCACATGATAATATATCACACAAATTATGCTTAGTGTTTTTATCACCATAAAAGAAATAAGTGGAGTTATTGAATATATTTTACTTATTCTCACTGATTTCCTTCACTTATCATTATATCTTTGTTATAATATCATGTCAAACTGACTCATTGACTTCAGAAGCTGAAGACTATTTCCTTAGTTTGGATACAGTGAGGTGTGCAGCACAACTAGAGCAAAGTATTAAATAGAATTTTCATTGAGATTGATAGTAACAACTGCTTTTGTTTTTTGAGAATTGGGGGTTCACCCACTGAAGCAGAATTGGTATTTGTACTCAGAAAGTAGCATTCTGATTCTTTTTTCTTTTATTTCTTTTCAGCATAACAGAATTCATTGTTTTTGCACCACACCCAGTGCTCCATGCAAAACATGCCCTCCTTAATACCCACCACCTGGCTGCCCCAATCTCCCACGCCCAGCCGCTTCAAAACCCTCAGGTTGTTTTTCAGAGTCCATAGTCTCTCACGGTTCACCTCCCCTTCCAATTTCCCTCAACTCCCATCTCCTCTCCATCTCCCTATGTCCTCCATGTTATTTGTTATGCTCTGCAAATAAGTGAAACCATATGATAATTGACTCTCTCTGCTTGACTTATTTCACTCAGAATAATCTTCTCCAGTCCCATCTGTGTTGCTACAAAAGTTGGGATTCATCCTTTCTGATGGAGGCATAATACTCCATAGTGCATATGGACCACATCTTCCTTATCCATTCATCCATTGAAGGACATCTTGATTCTTTCCACAGTTTGGCGACCGTGGTCATTGCTGCTATAAACATTGGGGTACAGATGGCCCTTCTTTTCACTACATCTGTATCTTTGGGGTAAATACCCAGTAGTGCAATTGCAGGGTCATAGAGATCCAACAGCACATTAAAAAGATTATCCACCATGACCAGGTGGAATTCATCCCTGGGTTACAAGGATGGTTCAACATTCGCAAATCAATCAATGGGATAGAACAAATTAATAAGAAAAGAGAGAAGAACCACATGGTCCTCTCAATTCATGCAGAAAAAACATTTGACAAAATCCAGCATCCATTCCTGATTAAAACGCTTCAAAGTATAGGGATAGAGGGAACATTCCTGAACTTCATAAAATCTATCTATGAAAGACCCACAGCAAATATCATCATCAATGGGAAAAAGCTTGCAGCCTTCCCATTGAGATCAGGAACACGACAAGGATGCCCAATCTCACCACTCTTGTTCAACACAGTGTTAGAAGTCCTAGCAACAGCAATCAGACAACAAAGAGTAATAAAATGTATCCAAATTGGCAATGAAGAAGTCAAACTCTCTCTCTTTCAGATGACATGATTCTTTATATGGAAAACCCATAAGACTCCACCCCAAACTATAAGAACTCATACAACAATTCAGTAACATGGCAGAATACAAAGAATGTACAGAAATCAGTGGCTTTCTTATACACTAACAATGAAAATACAGAAAGAGAAATTAGAGAATTGATTCCATTCACTAGAGCACCAAGATATACTGCTTAGAGCAATCTATACTTTTAATGCCATTCCAATCAAAATTCCACTGGTATTTTTCAAAGAGCTGGAGCAAATAATCCTAAAATTTGTATGGAATCAGAATAGTTCCCGAATTGCTAGCATTCTGATTCTTGTTAAAAATAGTGGTTCTTGGAAATCCGCAAAAAGTTATATTAGGAATTTTTTTTTAGCTCTACCGAGGTATGATTGATACAAAAACAAAAAAGATACATCTAATATATACAAACTGATTATTTTGTACATGTTCATATACACAGGATACCATCACCACAAACAAAAACATTTCTGTGCAAACTTTTGTGTGTGTGTGTTTTTTTTTTTTTGATTTTCAAAGTTTAGAAATTTTATGTATTTGAAACACATGCTCACAGTAACTAAAATAAATTGGATTACATGTACCTCAATTCATTATGGTACTTCAAGTGGCAAACTTTCAACATAGATATAGTTTTCAAAAATTTCTCTCTCAGAATGAAATATTTTATCGTACTCCATTCAAATATATAGTCTTCTTGTTTTATCCTCCTCCCACTTCACTTTTGAGTGGGAATCCAAAGAAGTTTCCAAATAGCACAAATAAACAGAATCTAGTGGGTAGCAATTGCACTACTGCTTATTTACCCTAAAGATACAAATGTAGTGATCTGAAGGGACACGTGCACCCCAATGTTTATAGCAGCAATGTCCACAATAGCCAAACAATGGAAAGAGCCTGGATAATATTATATACTATGCAACTATCAAAACCCCGAAATCTTGCCATTTGTAAGGATGTGGATGGAACTAGAGGGTATTATGCTAAGAGAAATAAGTCAATCAGAGAAATACAAGTTTCATATGTTCTCACTGATATGAAGAATTTGAAAAACAAGACAGAAGATCTTAGGGGAAGGGAGGGAAAAATGAAACCAGTTGAAATGAGAGAATGAGACAAACTATAAGAGACTCATATTCTCAGGAAATAAACTGAGGCCTGCTGGAAGGGAAGGGGTGAGAGGGATTGAGTGGCTGGGTGATGGACTTTGGGGATAGTATGTGCTATGGTGAGTGCTGTGAATTGTGTAAGATTGATGAATCATAGACCTGTACCCCTGAAGCAAATAAAACATTATATGTTAATTAAAAAAAAGAATCTAAGGGGTAGCTTCTACTCAGTTCCACAGGCCTTTCTCCTTTGAGAAGCACATATTTTTATGTGTGTAAGCCAATATAGAATGGGACAGATTCTGTATCCAGACTGGTTCAGCCTGCCAAGCCCTTCTTTGCTGCTTCTAACACACAGCCATGTAAAATGGGATAAGGAGAGGTAAATGAATCTTTGATAGGATGATGGTTAAAAAGTATCTTGCTCCCTAAGAAACAGGATCAGGGGAAATCAAATAACTATCACAATTTTTTTTTCCTGTAGTTGTTTTTCCCCTGAAGCCACTGAATATTCTAACCTTGGTGGCATGATAACAATCAGAATTAGTATTTAATTTTTCTTTTCTTTTCTAGAAACAAAACTTTATGTAAGGGACTTCTATTGCTTTTTTCAAACCCTCTTGCAGTCCTCCTTATCTACTTTTCACTTTTTAACACCTGTTTTTTAGATTGCTTTAACTATCCTTCTTAAACAAACGTGACACATGATAGTTATCATTTTATATATACTTGTTTTACTGTATTTTATCCAGAAAACAATATGTTGAGATAATAGTACACTCTAATTTCAGTTATCTTTTTATTAATTCAACATTTTACTATTTCTCATACTTCTTATTTTACAAGTACAGTTATCAAAAGTTTTTACTTACATGATCAAGGCAAAATTTAAAAGAGACAATAACTTAAAGTTTATTTAGTAATACACTCTTCTCATGAGTACCTAGTTTTATAAATGAAAGTCAAGGACTTCTCAAACTCAACACACACACACACACACACACACACACACACACAAAACAAATAATCCAATCATGAAGTGTATAGAAGTTATGAACACACACTTCTCCAAAGGAGGCATATAAATGGATAATACATGAAAAAATGTTCAACAACCCTTGTCATCAGGGAAATACAAATCAAAATCACAATGAGATACCACTTTATACCAGATGGCAAAAACTAACAAGACTGTAAACAGAAAATGTTGGCAAGGATGTGGAATAAGATGAACCTTCTTAAATTGTTGATGAGAATGCACGCTGATACAGTTACTCTGGAAAACAGAACAGAAGTTACTAAAAAAAATTAAAAATAGAGTTACACTATGACCCAGAATTTTCACTACTGGGTATTTACTACAAAGAAACAGATGTAGTGAAAAGAAGGGGAACAGGCTCCCCAAAGTTCATAGTAGTGATGTTCAAAATAGCCAAACTGTGAAAGGAGATGAGCTGCCCTTCCACTGATGAATTGATACAGAAGATCTGGTTCATATATACAACACAATATTACTCAGACTTCAGAAAGGATGAATACCTACAACTTGCACTAGCATGGAAGGAATTGGACGGGATCATGCTAAGTGAAATAAGTCAAGTAGAAAAAGACAATTATCATATGGTTTCACTCATATGTGGACTATAAGGAATAGGGCAGAGGACTATTGCTGAGGGGAAGGAAAACTGAATGGGAAGAAATCAGAAAGGGAGAAAAACCATAAAACACTCTGGACTCTGAAAACAATCTGAGAGTTACAGAAGGGGGGGGGATTGTAGTAACCAGGTGTATTAAGCTGTAGTACCAGGTGGGTATTAAGGAGGGCATGTGATGTGAGGACCACTGGGTGTTAAACACAACTAGCAAATCATTGGACAATAAATCAAAAGCTAATGATGTACTATATGTCAGTTAATTGAATTTAAATTTAAAAAAAAGAAAGTAAGGTGTTAAAGAGGGCACAAATTGCATGGAACACTGGGTGTTATAGATAAACAATGAATCTTGGAACACTGCAAGCAGAAACTAATGATGTACTGTCTAGTGACTAACATAACATAATAAAAAATAACAAGAATTTTTTAAAAAATGAAAAAAAGAAAGTGAAGGACAAATCTAACTCAGTGTACACATTTTTCCCCCCTGAAAGAGTCTGGTGTACTTATATTGAGAATTACATTTCCAATCATATATTTAAAAAGTAGATCAAGTATATGCAGTTTTTTTTTCTTCCCCTTCAGTTTTTTTTTTTTTTCCTCTCCTATATCAAGGAGCATTTTCCTTTTCCCTCCATATTCTTAACTGGGGGGATAAGAAGATAATTTACAGAGTTCTCTTTTATTAGGTTCTGTTCATTTTCCCTTCCATTTCTTCAGCAGAGTTTCTCTTACTTCTTTGTTACAGAGATTGTTTAGAACTGGAGTCACCACGGTGTTTAGAACTGGAGTCACCACGGTGTTCAGGACATGCATGGCTTTGGTCAGATCCAAGGCCTCTTTGATTGAGAGGCGGACATGAAGAAATATCGTAGACCCATACAAGATGAGCACCACAGTGAGATGTGAAGAGCATGTGGAGAAAGCTTTGCTCCTGCCACTGGCTGAAGGGATCCTGAGAATGGTGCTGATGATGAAGATGTAGGAAACCAGGGTGATGAGGCATGAACTCCGGATGACCACCGAAGCAATCACAAAGGCCACGAATTCCACTGCCTGTGTGCTGGTGCAAGCTAGGGTGATCCAGGGTGCAATGTCACAGAAGTGGTTGATTGTGCGAGGACCAAAGAAGGACAGGGTGCTGATGAGGGCTGTGGGCACTGCAATAGCCAGAAAACCACACAGCCAGGATGCTAGGGCTAGCTGTGCTGAGAGCAGGCTGTTCATGATGGCCCTATAGTGTAGAGGATAGCAGATGGCCAGATAGCCATCATAAGCCATGGCTGCTAGTAGGAAATACTCTGTGCAGCCAGTGAGAAAACAAGGTACATCTGCAAAAGGCAGCCAGTAAATTATATGGTTTGGCTTCTCCCCAGAAGGATGGCCAGGGCTTTGGGGACAGCAGCTGTGGTATACCAAATTTCCAAGAAAGAAAGATTGCTCAAAAAGAAGTACATAGGGGTATGTAGCTGGTGGGAGGTAGTCACCAACATCAAAATAGTCATGTTACCACTCACTGTGAGGATGTACATCACCAGAAAAACCATAAAAAGAGAGAGCTGAAGGACCTGTGACCCTGGAAATCCAAGGAGGAGAAAATCCTGGCGGAGAGTTGCATTGTCTGGGCCCATTGAAGACATATTGAAGTATAATGGTAAACAGAGGCCACACACTGAGGTTTTTGATCCAAACACACAGTCCTAGAGTAATAAAAAGGATTCATGAGTATGCTTCAGTAACTGAATGTAAACTGACAGTCTAACATATGTTGGGTGCCTGTTCTGTATTTGGTTAATATCAAGTAATTTAATAATATGGAGATATATGTGCTATTTATTAGCAGTGAGTGGTTGAAGAGACATGTGAAGCATTTTAGCATTTTTGCAAAGATTGCACCCATTTTTACACTTCAGATCTAAGATTCAAACCCAATCTTTGGACCTGCATCATCCTTTTCTGGACATGCTCAAGCACAGCCACAGATTACACCTAACACACAAAAGGATTACTGCTTCATGTTGACACAATTCACTAATTTGTAACTAGATTCTTTCTGGCTGGTCCTTAAATGAAAATATGTATTTTTCTTTTATTTTTGTCTTGTGTGTCAAATGTAGGCTCTAGTCACTTTCATGTTTGACACAGCTTTTGAACTGGTCTTCTAATTTTAAGCTCTGACCTTAAAAATAATGTTCAGAAATAAAGAATAAAAAGTTTTAAATTATTGTAAATTTAATTTGTCTTCTCTGACCTTGAAAATTTCATGTTTAAACTTATTAATGTGATACCTTCTTTACACTAAAACTATTTCCATATCAGACAAGGCATTTAAGGCAACTGCTTCCTGCCTCTAAGACATCTTGATACTGATTTGGACTGATTATACTGAGAACAGCCTAAAAGCAGAAAATTACTTTGAAACTAGTTATTTTCTGAAAAAGAATTATTTAAATTCCAGTTAACACAGAGTGTAATATTAGTTTCAGGTGTACCATTTAGTGATTCCATACTTTCATATAACATCTGGTGCTCATGACAAGTGCAGTCCTTAATTCCCAGAAAAATAATGATGATGGTGATCATTTTTACTATAGAGTAAATAATATTAGTTAAGTCATTTTTTATTTCAGATATACAAAATATTTTTCTCTTTATCATTAAGATCATCACTTTTCACTTATGTTAACCATTAAATAAATTACTTTAAACTGTATAGTCCATTTCTGAATGCTTCTTTTTAAGAACAGAACCTATAACTTAGAAGATAAATTGGGAGCCCTTACTGTCAAACATGCAGGTGACTAAAACTTACACTTGAGAAGGAAAATCTGAAGAAAGTCCAAGTAGACTTTGGCATCTTTAGTCTTTACATTCCCTTATGAAAGAATGTCCCTTTTCTTCATCTTAATATGATGAAATATTACAGTTTTGCACCCTCCAAGAGAAATATTAATTCCAAAAATATTAGCAGATTAATTACACGTATCTAAAGTCAACAAGCATATTTATACTACAAGTGGGTCTACAAAGAAAATGGGTCCATAATGTAGGTGTACCTCACTTATGGCAGAATGGGACTTCAAAGTTCTGTAGAGCAGTAATCCCAAATTCCAATGGATGTGTGGATTACTTGAGGGTGATATCAAAATATACATTCTAGTTCAGTCATCTTGGGTCAGCCTGTGATTCTTCATTGCACACAAACTTACAGAAAGCATCACTTACTGAGGACTCTAATCTGAGCAGAATCTAGTATATATGGAATATGAAGAACAGGGTGATCACATGACTCTCTCCTGGTTCATTAAGTAGTAAAGGATCTAGATTTAATTAATTATTCTAATAAAGAAAATAATCATATCTTAAATTAGAAATTAAGGATGAGACAGATCAATGAGAAATATAGAGAAAAGGCGCTCATCAACAAATACACTACATAATGATTTTCACATATTTCTTAAAGTTATTATATTATTATTATATACCACCAGGTATTATAGAGGGCATGTGTTGCATGGAGCACTGGGTGTGGTACATAAACAATGAATTCTGGAACACTGAAAAGAAATTTTAAAAAGTTTTTATATCCGACATCTGTATCATTCATAGACAATCAATATATGTAAGAATTTTTCTTGATCAAAGAACTCACGGACATTGTTAATGTCTTTGATATGTAACTAAAAATGTAGTCAAGAAGCTGACATATAAAGGTAAATTTATGAAACAGCTAACAGTAGCCAACCTATAGTGAAGGCTTTCTTGGAAGTCATTAACTTATTATCTAACATGATCTTTGTAAATTGTATTACTTTGATTTTATTGTTATTCTACTAGTTTTAAAGATGAGAAAACTGAAAAACATGGAAGCTATAGAAGCTATCCCAGGTGGTGTTGGGACTAGAAGTTCTGTGAGTTCAACAGCAGAGCCTTAGCATGTAGGAGCTGTTGCTTTCAGAGACTCTTTTTAAATAGGTCTCTATGGTATCAGACAGGTTCAAATAAATTGTATTTTCATTTATATTCAAATAGAATCATTGGTCAATAGTATTCTAAAATCTATTAGTATGAAATGATTTTATCTTAAATTAGTAGGTAATGTCAATAAAATAATTATATTATTTTCCATTTTCAAAATTTAAAAATCAAATTGTGATGGCTACAGATTAGAGAATAAACTGAACATCATCACCATATTACAAAATGGCACTATCAGATTTGGTTTCAAATTATATTGCTGAATGTGTCAGATATCATGAACTAATAATATTTACTTAATTGAAGAATGTGATGATTATGCCCCACATTTTAAAATTTGCTTATATTGCTGTATATTTGAGTATTCTTAGTAGTGATTCTAAATAGGAAAACTAAGGGGACTTTTGGCAAATGACAAAGTTTATACAATCTAAGATAAATAGTTTTTGATTCACTGGTTTTTAAATAAATGGCTTTTTGAGTTTTCCAATTAACTAACCAGTTGATTCTTTTTTAAAAAAGAATTTGAGTCTTTAACAATTTAATGACTGTTTAAAAAGAATTTTAATTTCTTACATTTGGAAAATGATTTTGAATCCTTAAAAATCAATTGGTTTTCATACAAACATGCAATATTTAGCAAAAATAACGTCATTTGCATTGTTTCTGAGTCACAGGAAATTTTAGTTATTAATTAAGTGCTATGATGGTTATATATTGTGGAACAAATCTGTGATAACAAATTCACCCATTCAGTGACCAGGTATTGGATAGAACACAGGAAGTACAGAATAACCCTGTTCACTTACCCAGTTATAATTCTTTTTGGCATATATATAAAATCTATAAACTCTGTCTTTGTACCTTACATTTTCCCTGCTTTTTTATTCCATAATATTATCAATTTTAAAATACTGTATATCTATTGAAATCCTTTTATCTCCCTTTCTTCTTTTTCATTTTGTTATCTTACAATTTTCACAGTTTTCTCTCATTATTCAGTACTGTTTGATGAGCTCGATCTTCCACAGCTTTTGAAATTTGTTCTTAGTCTATGTTATTTTTTTCCCCTTTCCTTCTGATCCAATCCTGTCTTAGCTACATTCAATTTTAGTGTAGGTGTTTTACGTTTTTTCCATCTCAATCTTCCACTTAATGAGTTCCATACTGTAAACAATTTGCTATTAAGTAATTGCCTATGTGTACAAGAATCTTATGGGAGATGGTGACAATTTAATACTCTCTCTTGGGTACTTATGGCTAGGTCGAGAAGAGAAGATCTTTCTAAATGGGGATTTCAAATTATTTTCAAGCATTTGATTTAAATAACTATAATTTAATGAAGATTTACATGGAACAGGAAAGGGATATTTCCCTAGGCTTACAAATATTATGTTGATCTTTCCTCTTTGTGCAAGTTCTTAGAAAATGCAAATATTCAATGGATTCTAACAATTTCTGAAAAATTGTATTTTTATTTCTTAAGTTTTTTTCAAATTATAATTCAAGTATAGTTAATATACAGTATTATATTAGTTTCTGGTATACACCATAGTGTTCAACAATTCTATACATCACATGGTGCTCATCATGACAAGTGTACTCCTTCATTTCCATCACCTATATTATCCATCCCCCCCACCTATCTCCCATCTGGTAACCATAAGCTTGTTCTTTATAATTAAGAGATTGTCTCCAGGTTTGTCTCTCTGTTTTTTTTTTTTTCCTAAGTTCATTTATTTTGTTCTTAAATTTGACATATAAGTGAGATCATATAGTATTTGTCTTACTCTAATTTATTTCACTTAACATCCATGTCATAGTAAATGGGAAGATTTTGTCCTTTTGTGTGGCTGAGTTTTTTTTTTTTAAGATTTTATTTATTTATTTGACAGAGATCACAAGCAGGCAGAGAGGCAGGCAGAGAGAGAGAGAGGAAGGGAAGCAGGCTCCCTGCTGAGCAGAGAGCCCAATGCGGGGCTCGATCCCAGGGCCCAGGGATCATGACCTGAGCTGAAGGCAGAGGCTTTAACCCACTGAGCCACCCAGGCACCCCCTGAGTTATATATATATATATATATATATATATATATATATATATATGAAGATTTCATCCTTTTGTGTGGATGAGTTTTATATATATAATATATAAATATATAGAAATAAATATAAATATAATATAATAAATAATGTAATAAATAATATAATAAATAAAAATATAAAAATATAATATAACAAATATAAATAAATAAAATATATATTAAAGATAGATATATATATGTAAAACTCAGCCACACAAAAGGATGAAATCTTCCCATTTACTATTTATAGTAAATGGGAAGATTTACATATACATTTACATATACATTTATATGTGTGTATTTGTATATATATGTGTGTATATATATATATATATATATATATATAAAATGAAGATGTGATATTATCTTCCTTATCCATTCACCAGTTGATGGACATTTGTGCTTTTTCCATAATTTGACTATTGTTGATAATGCTGCTATAAACATTGGAGTGCATGTATCCATTTCAGTAAGTATTCATCCCTTGGGTAAATACCTAGTAGTGTAATTTCTGGATGGTTGTGTAGTTCTATTTTTAAGTTTTTGAGGAATCTCAATACTGTTGTCCAGAT